GCCAGGCAGCTCTCCAGCCACTCTTCCCCAAGCCTGTAGCATTGCGTGGGGCTGTTGTGACCCAAGGGCAGGACCCGGCACTTGGCCTGTTTGAACCTCATACAACTGGCCTCAGCCCATCAATCCAGCCTGTCCAGATCCCTCTGTAGAGCCTTCCTACCCTCCAGCAGACCGACACTTCCACCCAACTTGGTGTCATCTGCAAACTTACTGAAGATGCACTCAATGCCCTTGTCCAGATCATTGATAAAGATATTAAACAGAACTGGCCCCAATACTGAGCCTTGGGGAACACCACTTGTGACCAGCCACCAACTGGATTTAACTCCATTCACCACAAGTCTTTGGGCCCGGCCATCCAGACAGTTTTTTACCCAGTGAAGCATACACCCGTCCAAGCCATGAGCAGCCAGTTTCTCCAGGAGAATGCCGTGGGAAATGGTGTCAAAGGCTTTATTAAAGTCTAGATAGACAATATCCACAGCCTTAAGTGGGTCACCTTGTCATAGAAGGAGATCAGGTTAGTCAAGCAGGACCTGCCTTTCACAAACCCATGCTGACTTGGCCTGATCCCCTGGTTGTCCCATACATGCTGCTTGATGACACTCAGGATGATCTGCTCCATAAGCTTCCCTGGCACCAAGGTCAGACTGACAGGCCTGTAGTTCCCTGGATCCTCCTTCTGGCCCTTCTTGTAGGTGGGTGTCACATTTGCTAACCTCCAGTCAACTAGGACCTCCCCAGTTAGCCAGGACTGCTGATAAATGATTGGAAATGACTTGGTGAGCACTTCTGCCAGCTCCCTCAGTACCCTTGGGTGGATCCCATCTGGCCCCGTACACGTGTGTGTCTACATGGTGTAGCAGGTCGCTAACCATTTCCCCTCGGATTATGGGGTCTTCGTTCAGCTCCCCATCCCTGTGTTCCAGTTCAGGGGGCTGGGTACCCCCAGCCTGACTATTAAAGACTGAGGCAAAAAAGGCATTAAGTACCTCAGCCTTTTCGTTGGCCTTTCCTCAGCCTTTTAGAAATATTTAAAATTATAGCAAATCAATACTGGAGATTTCTAAAGACTTAAGATGCCCTCAAATCAATTTCAGTAAGAGTGATGCTTGTATATATGAGAAAATTACACTTTTTAGACTGATTTATTTCCTAGGGGTAAATTAAGCCAAAATATGCAGGATGATGAAAAATCCTTTTCTATTTGAACAGCTTCTGATACCTCTAAGTACAATATACTTGTAAAATCTGTAGACATTGATGGAGTTACCAGAGTGGCTCTATTATTATTTCTTTCTTTGTAAGAGGCCTTGGACGGTAGTTTTAGAAAATCGCTGTTTTGTCCTAAGAGAATTTTTAGTAAGAGTTATACAGTTTCCAGTTTATTTCTTCTCTTGCTTAAATTGAAGATGGAGCCCTTTACTCTGGCATATGTTAATCGCATTTGAGTTCTAAATATTATCTATCTTCCCCATCAGAATTGATAGTATGGGAGATATGAACATTGATTCTTTATCACATCACATTTTGAATTACGTTCAGAAAAGACCAGGTGTCTTTTCAGCAAAAAATATGAACAGAAGTAATGTCCAACCAAAGTGGTCTAACATTTGTTTAGTAGGCTGAGTTTGGAGATCTTATCAGAATAACTGATAGTTATGACCAGACTCTTTTTCTAGCATGCGTTACATTAAATAGGCATGACTATTTCCCCTTGGATACAGGCCTTGCTAAACGTATCTGCAGGTTTCGGACAAAAATCATTGTTCTGATGTTGGCTGCACATTTCAAAACTAACAATCATTAATCACTGGAGGTTCACCTATTGTAGCACATCCGGTAAGTGTAGCTTAGCTGTAAGTGCACAAAGCACACAGGACACTGACAATCATTGCAGCCCACAGAACACAAATAAGGGATAAAATGGCATTGAATGCATCCACCTCAAATGTCTACGTAATAGTGTTCTGGTTGCTATAGTATTCTTTCTGGATAGTATCTCTGGGCTGGAGTATTTCTCACACATATTGTGAGAGGGCTGCTGATGGTGTATTTTCAAAGAGAGATCCTGCCTCTATGAGATGAAACCTGAGTGGTCACACTTTGGTTATCTTTCCTGTAAGCTGAGTTCTTACTTCTGTTGGGGTTTTTTTAGCTACTATACTATTCCAACCGATGACTATAAATACTACTCTACAAATAAATAATTATAAAACATGGCTGAAGTGACAGAAGACTAGAGAAATGGATCTCTGTATATAAATTGCCAATGTGTGAATGCAAAATCTATCATCAAAAAGATTTAGAATTAACACTTTCAGTCTATGACTGAAAGATAGTTATTGAACTGTCAATTATTAAAACAGTGCAATTCTTAATATCTGGCAAGTTCCAAAAATTGTTTCAGATATTTATGGCAGATCTTTCTCTATGCTGGGCCACTTCTAGAGAGTGCCACAAATTTTAGTTCTCAAATCTTTTTGATTCTTTCTTTCTCCTTTAACCTTGACTATCAGTGATTCTGATTTACATCTCACCTCTTCAATGCCTGCAAAGATTTCTGCCTGTTCATCTAAGCTTATTGGTATTTATCTCACTGCCTAACAATTAAAGACAGTGAAGGCAGAAATAACTTCTTTCAGACTATGTCTTAAGCATAGATCTTTGTTTATATCTCTCCTTGACTCCCATTCCGACTACTCTCTGTTTTTTATTCTTTGCCATTTTATTATCTTTACCACACTTACTTTGAACTGTCCTTCTCCTTCCAGATTTCCTATGTTAGAAAATCTGTTCATGGTCAGTTAAGCAGTAACGTCTAGATACAAAATTATATTAACTTATATCAGTATATCTGCACTAATAACCTCTTATTCTGTTTTTGCATGTCCAGGAGCCTATTGAACCTGTAACATTTTACATCTCAGCACAATTATAATTCTATAGACTGTCTATTTATAAATAAAAACTTGACCTTACTGCTGCACCTTCAAATATCTCTGCCTTCTTCATTCCAAGAATGAGAACTAATCCTGTTGTAGTGAACTGGACCTAGTTTTCAGCATTTCAATCACTTAAGTCAACACGGTTGCCCCTATCCCAGATCAATTTCACCTTTCAATCCTAGTTTCTCTAACACTTTTTCCAAATGGCATACTACACCCATTTTTATCTTTTACACCATATTAGTCTTTTCTCCACTGATCGAGTAAGTTATAAGTGTTCTAAAAATGTTACATAATTCTACGATATTTCCATGTCCTACCCTATAATTCTTTACAATGGGTATGCACACAGCTATACACAAAGATCTAATACTAACAGAATTGTGTAATTCAGTGTATTATAATTAGCAATTGCCATTTAAAACTCACCTGAACGTTTGCTCTTGCTTTACTCGCCTGGCTTGATATACTTGCTCTGGCTGTGTTAAGTAACTTGTGGATTCCAGTAAAATGACCCTGGAGTATGGCAGTACACATAATCACCACATTTTTAACTTGCAGAATGAAGATAAAACTCCGTTTATTTTAACTTTTAAATGAAGGCTTGTTAAAGAAGCTTATTATTTTCAACTGGGGATACTTTAAAAGAACTCTCAAAAAAGATTTTTTTAAAAACTATCTATTTAATAATTTATTAATTCTTATGTAATAACTTAAAACATTTTGCACAATTTAAGCTATGTAATTTTTAAAGTTCATGTAAGCATGCAAAATCCTGAGATACTTATTCAAGGGTTATTGGGAAAAATCATAAACTACTACCTCATCAATACCATAGGTTGATTTGTAATCATAGGGGTGGTCTACAGCCATGTCATGACATGCAGACCAATATTCCTTTCAAAAAATTTTTAAAAAAGAAAAAATTAAAACCAGAAACATAACGTCCATTTCAATATTAAGACAAATTATACTTATAGTTTAATTGAAAATAATTTTCTGAAATGTAATTTATACTATGATCTGTACTAAATTAAATGATTGAATAATTGAGTCATTTACACTTGAAGAAAAAAGCTCAAGTAATTTTATTTTGCTTTTGTAAATAATGACTCTACTAAGATAGAGTAAATTGTGATTTCTCTGACAAACCACAAGCAACTGCTTCACTTTAGTTTTTCCTAGAAGATTCTGATCTTCTTTCATGTACATTATTTAGATGATAGAATGGGTAACATCTAACAAACAGCCAAATGCTAGGCAAGGACTAATTTAGGGTGCAGTATTTACAGCTTTTGGAGCTATCTGACATTTGCTATATATTTGACATGAGGTCAAAGAGGTGCTCATGTTTGTAACTTGTCCTTTTCTTAAATCATACTACATTATACACCTAGTTTTAAGAGTTTCAGCCCAGTTTTCTGTAAAAGAGCTACTTTCTTGGTATCACAAGTGCATTTCCTAGTGTTATTTGCAACTAAGCAATGCACCCCCTGATGGAACACTAGATGGTTCAGAACACTGGAAACATGATACAAAGAATTTTTTGTTTTAGATTACTGGTTCAAATGTTACTCAAATTGATAATTACTTCAAGTAGTTGTCAAGCAGCTTTTGAGTGATACATATAAAATTAAATTACTTCATCACCTATAATCTATTCTTTCCAAGAGGGTTATCCACATCATAGAACTGATTACAGGCAGTCTCACTGACCATGTCAGGCACTTTAAAAAAAGACAGAAGCTAAATAAACTCATGATTCCCACATAGGAGGCTTATGCCAGAGCACACTGCTGGAGCAATGGAAACAATCCTGTTACAGGTGTCTATACCAAACCTATTCTGTGGATGAAAGAGAAATTTAATTTGCAGTGTATGCAATGTGTATATTAAACAGACCAGTAAAACAAGCTAAAAATGTTATGGAGAATGCTTCTTATAAATAAATGAATGACATGAACCAACGTTTAGCTCTACAGACTAAAGACACAATGTGGAGTCAGATCACATAAACAGATTTTAAAGGGGCACAGCACTCTCTTTCTTTTGTATTAAAGAAAGCAACATTTATAACTGCAGTTGTTACATCTATGATGAATACAAATGATAAATTAGATTAACTGATAGTGATGTGAGCCCCAAGGCAAAAGCATGTTTTTTCTTTTGCATGTTTAATAATTTAAACAGCAGGATAAAGCAGATTGGGGAAAAAATAACCAACTATTAATTACCATGGTTTGTTTCTCTTCAGAAGTTCTGCTGGACCTCAGCCAAACACAAAAATACAAGCAAGGTTCATGAACTCCATTTGATTAAAACTCTAACTTTATTGCTTACAGTGAGATGGAGTTCATTTAAGGCTTATTTATCTACTTTATTCATTATGACAGCTTCCACTTCATAGTGCTTGTAACAATTTTGGTAATGTAAATCCCTATGATTTAACCTTAAAGTTTTACATTTTTAAGGAGAAGAAGAAAATTATGGAAAAGAGTTGATAAAACAGCATAATTATTATAGATATGTCTTTACAGCATTGTCTACCTGAATATGCCATCATTTCTGAAGGGATTAGTAACATTTAGGATAACTTTCTTCAGTTCATAACATGGTGATTTGAATTTTAATATATCCTAAAAAAGAGTAAGAATTTATATCAATATGAAAAACTTGCAAAACTGCATTCATCTATAATACATGAACATACAGGAAAATATTACAAAGAAGAATAGAACCATGTATTTGACCACTGGTGACTACAAAATTAACATAATTTAAACGCTAGGCTTTGTTGCCAGCAAAGAATGTTAAAGCCTATTTCTTTTTAAACATGCATTAAACTTCACTATATTTTAAACGTTCTTCAAAGTGATAGCACAGGGCCAAGAACCAAGCTGTCTTTTTGCCTTCTTATCTTTCCATGTCCTCTATTTTCTTCTCTTCCCCAACCTTCCTTTCTAACATCAGTGTCTATTGCTATGGTAGAGAGCGAGTCATGATAAAAAACGAGAATCGCATAAACACCATCTGAGTTTAGAAGAGGATCTATCCAGATGTGTTCAATGAATGTTTGATAACAAATGATGGAAACCATGTCTATCTCTGCTCTGACTATTTCTGGGATATATCTTAAATCTAAAGACTGTCTAAAGTTAAAAAGCACAAATAAACCTAGCAACATCTAACAAAAGTTTGCTGTCCGTCTACATCTGACAACTGAAATCAGTAGGCTGACGGGGCCTATGAACACCTCCTCAATGGAATTTCTGAAAGCATTCATAAGCTGAAGGGACTCCAGATTTATTTTCAGAGCAATCACTGCAAAATTTTTAAAATTATTTAGGATCCAAGTGTGATTTATATCCTTAGGCATCTTAGATATTCCTCTAGACTTTTCTCTGCATGTACCTAGGCTAATATTGGAAACCTGAAAATTCATAGGTCGAAGGCTAATGCTGATGGTAACTCACATTTTTATTCTTACCTCAGTTCACTTTTGTTTGATACAATGTACAGATGAACAATATTTTTATGACAATATTAATCATACACACATAAACTTACAGCAGGTTCAATATGCTTGACTTCAGATTTAAGAGAGAATGTCAGTGTGGCACCATCTATTCCACCCACAGTCTTTGAGATCAGTAGCAACACTGCTTCAGCAGGGCGCAGAAAACGACTAGTGAATTCCACATTTATACTTGTTTGTCTCCTAGGCAAAATAATAATGATAATAATAGTTTAGTTAGGCACAAAATGGTGACTCAGAAATTACTCAGAAATGTCAATTCAGGAGCACATTTTCGAGTCTTTGTAAGGTAAGGGGGCTAGAAAAGAAAGTCATTTATTTCTTCTGAAATACTTTGTTGCAGTTCAATCTTCCTAAGAACACCTTAAAGCATTCTAATACAAGAACTATACAGATAGAAAAAGAACAATATTGAGTCCTTATTGCTTTTTATGACCTCAGCATGTAGCTTAATTTTTCTTCCCACACACACTAGCACAGGAAGTTCTCTTTCCTTATAGTATTACCCCAAGTTAACAACTGATTTACTTTATGCTCCCCTATTTGAATAGGTTTTTGTGAGTTAAACAGTCAGACATCCTGTTATGCATGTTGTGAGACAGATCTAGATGTTCTTAATCAAATCCCCACTGAAGATTGAGAAAGAAATGAGTAAAAAAACCCTTCAGAATAATTACTAAAGCTGAGTAATTAAGAGGCAGAAAAAAAAAAAAGTTCTCTCGTACAAGAAACAGCTCAAGTCTCTGATGGGAAACTGGAGAAGGGGAGACCACATAGAATGAGAATTTAGACTAGGTAAGAGTTAAGTTTAGACTTGATTTGCATTAGTCCTGCAACTAAGCAAGATCAATAAAAAAAGTTTAGTGGCTGAAGCTCACACTTTGAAGCTCTCAAAATCACCCTCTGATTTTGAGATTAATGTCTTAAGATAGCATGAAGGTCAGTAAACTTGTAGTGTGTAGGATTGTTCTAATATCAAGAGAACAGTAGAATCTGAACATATTCTGCCTTTCTACACATACAAACCGAGTAGACAGAGCTTTCTCTAAACACAAAAAGACCTATATTTTTGGAGTTGCAAGCAGAATATCTCAAAATACATACCAAAAAGTCAGCTGACTGGTTTACACTTTCATTGTAATGCCATTCTATGTAGTTAAATAAATTTTTAAATTTACCCCCCAGCAAACTGTATGAAAGAGATGGCAGAAAGAAAATATCCTCTAGTAAAATCTTGACATTTCTTGATTTACTCAAGCTGATATTACTTAAATAATACTTCAAAGGGATTCTTAAAATATAGGAAAAGGTTATATTTATAAACTGCAGATTTGTTAGTTGTCTTTCTGGAAGAGAGAGCAGATGCTAAAGTCAAAATGAAGCTTCTCCCCAACCCAAATCAGCCTTCCCCATTAAAAAATTAACAGGAACTCTGCAGGCTGACAGAAAAGAATTAAAACAGAGGCAGAGGGAAATTATGTGTGATTTATTGGTCTTCTGCCAACTGGGAATTCTAAAGCAGAGGCAATCAACTAACAGTGGTATGTGAAATATGCCTATTACATATTGCATGTGTATATACTTACACAAGTAAGTGGTGAAGTAAAGGACTTGTAATAGCAATCACCATGCCATGTCTTCAATGGAATCGTGTTCATTTACATTTGGTTCACAACTTTCATAATAGCAGCTACTTTTTCAAGTGAACTCAATGGACACATCTCTTCATGTAAGTTGAGCAATCACAATGATGGCAGAAGTTCTATAAACTTGTTTTCATGGGAGCAATGGCAAGATTTGGCCCTGGGTGACAGCTGCTGTTAAGGAAATTTTCTGGGAAGACCTTAACCTCATTCTTATGATGGACCAGGGAAAAAAAGAAAAAAAAAAAAAATATATATATATACAGCATTCTTACTTAAAACTACTTTGGGACCTGAGAACTGGGTAGTGATAAATACCAATATCTTAAAAAAAAATTGGGGAAGATCAGGAGAATAACAGACCTTTAAGCCTCAAACCTATACCATGCAAGGTAGTAGAAACAATTATAAAGAATAAAAGAATAGGATAAATATAAATGATATCTACTATAAACAAGATCTACATAAATGAGATCTAACTGGCACAAGTCAACATCTGTAAAATGTAGTCCTGCCTTATAAACCTGTGGGAGTTCATAAAAGGAGTTCAACAAGAACATGATTAAGGAGGGTGATTTAATTCTTCTATTTCTAACAAAATCCCTTTCTATAGACTTACAAGGAAACTAGCAGACAGGAAAGAAGCAAGGAAAGAAGCAAAGAAACATAATGTAGAAACTAACACTTCCTACTATGTAGGAAGGCTATTAATGGAGTCCTCAAGGGTCTGCGACAACTGGAAAGTAAGGAAGTTTACTGATGTTCTAAGTTGCTCCAGGTTGCAAGGACAAAGATTGACAGTGCAATGATTGCAGGACCTTATGAGACAACAAAATGACAGGCAATTCAGTGAACATAGATATAAAGAGAGGCATACAGAGAAAGCAGTTCTATGTTTACATAAAATTATGGCCCCCAAGCCATTATAACTCACCATTAAGAACTTGCGATTTGTGACAGATAGTTTCATGAAAACATCAGCAAAGTGCTGGGAAACATCCAATAAAGCCAAATTAAACGTTAGGAATAATTAGAAAAGGAACAGACAGCAACATAGATCACCATTAGGCCACCAGATCCCATCCAAAGGGCTCAAACCTTAATTACTCTTTGTACCTCTTTACCTCAAAAAGGATATAGCAGAATTGAAAAAAGCTCATCAAACCACAGAAAGGGTGACTATAGCTAATAGAATGAACCCAGCATGATCTCTAGCTTAACACCTAGGATAAAGGAATATGATATTGTCCAGAATTCCAGAATTCTTCCTAACGTCAAAAGTCTCAGGATCTCAGTTCTGAGAATCGATGATAAAATCCTGGAAGTCCTGAAAATCTGGCTCTTACAGCTTTCATGTCTCTGCTGCACAAACCCCAAACATTACCATTTTTGACAGAGTTGAGATAAAAATATATATATATATATATATATATATATAAAATACAGTTGATACACTGTAGGCGTCAAAGATTCTGAATTTCTTTATCAGCTCAGTGTGTCCCATCTTTCAAAAAAGCAAGCAATCAAATTCTCTCTCTTTTATTTGTTGTACTTTGGTGTAGGAAAAGAAAGATAAAAAGTTGCTTGGTGGGATCAAATTTGCAGAGTTTAAGGCCAGTGGAAATCACTAGATAACACAATCCAAAGTAGTAAGACATTGCAGGCCATTATGTGCAACCCAATCATCCTTCAATTGCTTCTGATAACTACCATTTGGCAGGAGCATTTTTCTGAGAAAGCACTCCATATTATCTGAGGCAGAAGGCTGGATTAAATAACTTTCTGAGGTCACTTCCTGTACTATTTTCAATGTTCTGTGGTTTGCAAAACTCCTACAGTTAAAGAATTTGCCATTCAGATAAAGTTTCTTCCCTTCAATAGGTGATCACCTTCACTACTTCCAGGTTGAATTTGTACAACTCCAGCTTCAAGCTGTTGTTCTTATAAAAAGTTTTATTCTGTGTTTTTTGCAGTTAAACAGGTCCCTTTCCCAGGAAGGTACTTTTAAATATTTATCAAGTCATCTTCATCATTTTTCTTTTTAAGATACCCAGACTGAGTAACTTATAGGCATGTCTACACTACATAAGAGAGCTTAGAGACCTTTATGCTACTACTGTTGTTAACTGCAAGTCTATATGACACAATGCAGTGCCCTGGAGAGTGGGAATCTCAGATCAAAGATTAATTACATTATATGCAAGGTCTGACACTCAGCTACACTGAGAATGTTCTGATGCATCCCAAAAGCCAGAGCAGAACGACAGATTTCCCTGATGTTCAGCTGTTTAAGATTAAAGCCAGTTTCATCTTGGCCAATTGATACAAAATATTCATTCTTGACAGATACTGGGTGTAGGTGGCAAGGTTTTGGTAACAGGGGACTGTAGGGGCAGCCTCTGTGAGAAGAGACCGGGAGCTGCCCTGTGCAGGACACAGACAGTTCCAGCTGGCTCCATAATGGACCCACTGCAGGACACAGCTGAGCCCATCAGTCAAGCTAATGGCACCTCTGTGAAAGCATATTTAAGAAAGGGCAAAAACATCAAAAAGGCAGAGGAGTGAGGAAAAGGAGTAAGAAACAGCAGTGAGAACATCAAGGTCAGAGAAGGAGAGGGAGAGGAGGTACTCCAGCTGCCAGAACATTTCCCTGCAGCATGTGGGGAGGATCATACCAGAGCAGATATCCACACTGCAGTCCATGGAGGGCCCCATGCCAGAGCAGTTGGATATTTCCTGAAGGAATTGTGATCTGTGGAGAGCCCATGTGGGAGCAAGTTTTTCTTGAAGGACTGCAGGCCATGGAAGGACTCACAGAGCAGGAGAAAAGCATGAGGAGAAAGGAGAAGCAAAGAGGAACTGTTGTGAAGTGACTGCAGCCACCTGCTCCCCATCACTCCCTGTGCCATTCAGGGTGGCAGGAGGAGAAGGCAGAGGACTCTGGAATGAAGGAGTGAAGTTGAGTCTGGGAGAAGATGAGGAAGAGATGAGGTGATGTTTTAATTTTTATCTTTGTTTCTCACTACAAAAGCCTATTTTAATTGAAAATGAATTAAAACCATCTTCCCTAAGTCGAGCCTGTTTTGCCTGTGATGGTCACTGGTAAGCAGTCTCCCCATCTATCTCAACCCACAAACCTCTTTAGCAATTTTTTCTCCCCTGTCCTGTTAAGGAGAGGGAGTGAGAGAGAGTGTGTCTGGGTGAGTGTCTGGCAGCTGGCCAAGTTTAACCCACCACAGCCGTTTATGAGTTTCTCCACCTAGTAGTGGACCACAGTATGCACTGTCATGCTTCTTTGAAAATACAGACAGACATATGTTACATATTTCTGACACTTCATTATTTTTAGTTTAAAATCATTGGCATCTCCATCTAATGCTGCATCAGTGCTTCCTAATATATTTAAGTAACTCCTCTTCGTTACCCTTTGCCTTTCTGCTCAGATTTTTCCCTGATCTGTTTAGCTTATTAGTTTCCTGCAGTTCATCTCTCCTGGACAGTAAACACAGTTCTTTCAGACTGGGCCTTCATATACAGAATACTCTATGCCAAGCGTGCTCACCCAGCAGGTCCAACAGGATTAGTCAGTCACACTTACTCCTCATTAGTTATTTTAATGACCCACAGTCATCTTAAATCCAATTATAGTTACTTCTAAATATAGGAATATATATATTTGGCGGATAATTAGATACAAGTCTCCATCCGTGACATGTCTTACTTAGTGTCTTCCAGCTCCAATCAGAAGCCTGACAAGTTTCAGTTTCTTTAGCCTCCCTATCAAGGCTGTGGTTCATCTTTTCAGCTGTAATTGCCTGAACTCTCATGAGTGAATGTTCTCTGAACTCCTAAGATTTCCCTTGATCTTTTACCCTGAAACTTTGGCAAAGCAAGCTTTACAACTTGACTGGAGCCCTGCAGCAGGCCTTCATAAGGCAATAGCTGCTATTTTTAACTGCTTCTTCTTTATTAGTTTATCTAAAGTACCTGTTGTTTCAGGGGAAAAGAAGCTGGCTAGTATCAAGCTAGCTTGCAGTGAAAGATGAACTAGTGGTGAAAGCATATCCATGTTTATATATAATACTCATAAATTCATAAGGAATAGTTTCAATTCAGGGGAACAAGGATGCAGAGATATCTGACCTTAAGTTGTCTGAACCATTACAGACACTCAGAAAGTTTTTTAAAGTATAACTCCTATTCTCTGATATAGCAAGTAGGCTTTTCTAATTTTTAGTGATTTTTAACACATTGATTCATCTGCCTCCAATCCCATATTTATGGATTATTTACTTCTAAAAGTAGAATAAATAACTTCAATGTGAAGTGCCTCTTTCTAGCTATTTTAACATCTTTTATTCCTAAACAAGTTATAGTCAGTGATGCTAGCATTCCCACCAAAAATTAACTCCATTAAGTTTTACTAATACACTCACATCAAATTTCTTACTGAATACACTGAAAATTCTCCCTCGCTTTTTATTTAGGCCATAAATAGATTTATTTTTTTCTAGAATTCTGTTACAAGCCTACATCATTTCTGAGTTTCTCTGAAGGCATTCTTTCCAAAGGAAGCAGAACATTCTCTCCTACAAATCCTCTACCATTTTTCTTGACCTTATACAACTGAATATCAATCAGCACTAATAGCCATAAGCCTACACATAATCTATTAAACAGAGGTGTTGGTTTATTATTCACGTTACTATCACTTCCAAACCCACCTATGATATTATGGTCTAATATAAAGCACCTACAAGACTCCAACCCATCCCACCGCTGCTTGGAGTTCTCAAACATATTAAGAAATATTAAGAAAGGTATTAATTACAAAGAATCTGTTTTTCACTTAGTGACCAAGATTACAAGTAAGGTTACATTATGATAAACTCTGCAGAGGTCACCAGTGTACAACTGTCATTTCCACAAGCTTTTATTTCTATGCATTTTTTCAAATGTTTCTTGCTATATATAATGCCAAGCAGCTCAATGACAAGGCTGTACGCATTTACTTGTGTTTTGGTTTTTTGGGTTTTTTTTAAAGGTGAAGTGAAAAACAGCCATGGTATTGACCTTTCAGAGAAACACATGGTGTTTTCAAGGATTACATTTTTATGTTAATTCTTATTTGAAGCAATTGCAAAGAAAATGGAATCAAATCATCCTCACAGCTCGCTGAAAACGTAGCATTACTTGTCCCTTTTGCATATATTTACAATAGGCATGTCATTTAATACTGAAATATTGATCATCCTTGAAGAGCACTATATTTATGTTGAGTCTTCTTGAATTTGACAATATATATTTGAAATTTTTCTTCTTCACAGGATATTTTCATACAAATGTTGACCTTTGTTTTCCTTTTTACAATCTCTAATCCATTTTATCTGCAAAGGAATATCTTAAATACACTTGCAGTCTAAACTTCAGAACTCTTAACTGACAGCCAGAGTCACTGCTACATCCCTCTTGTCTTCACTAGTTAAACAGGGATTAGTGAAATTCCTGTATCTAGTCATAAAGCCACATAGCACTTAGTGAACAAAAAGAAAAAGATGGCGATATACCATGAGTGTTTCTGCTACCAAAAATGTTAACAATCTAATGTTTTCTCAAAATTAAATCTCTCCAAAATCCTTAGATGACTTTCAGAAATGTAAGACAGAGAAATAACTACATTGCAGCTGCAAAATTTCCATCTTGGCGGGGAGGGAGGATGGGGGCAAAAAGAAGCAGTCTAACACTACTATCAAACCTGTACCATGGTCTTTTAAATTCCCAGCCATGCTTCAATTAAGAATAAGAAACAAAAACTGAAATCTTAGAAGAAAGAATTTTTACCTGCTCATGCTTCCACAATACATTGATGTAAAAAATGTGAATCAAGTTTAGATGAGATATTTCAACTTTAGTTGGGCAAAAAAATAATATATAAGAACAGCAGATCCAAACTGAAAATCAAAGCTTTCAATGCATTGGGACAAAAATATTTCTTGGACACAGATGACTCCTCTAATGATCTGAAGGCTTGTATTCTGCTCTCAAAGCTCTATTAAGGTAAACTGTAAGTGTCCCACTGATAGATTACTCAGGATTTGTTCTAGGTTAAGGAGAAAAAGCCTGATCTTTATACTGACTAATTTTGCCCTGTTTGTAGTTGAACACATTTCTATTGTTCCACCACTATTAAATTAGTAGGTTTATATTTCCATACCGCTAGACTTATTAATAACACTAAAAAAAATATCATTACTTACTTAGGAGCAATGGTGACAGTGTTTCCTTTAGGTAATGAGAAATCATCAGCATCTCTTCCTACAAGAATAGCGTTGTACATCAAAGTTTTACTGCTTGGGTTTTTCAGACGCACCTATCACAACAACAACAAAATCAGCCTATTTTATTTGATTTTTAGAGTACAAAAGATGTGTTCTGCAGCTAGGTTCCAAAATACAAACTAAGGATATCACAAAATAAGAAAGTACTTCAAATAACTAGGTAGATCATTTTCCTTCCTAAGGAGTATAGACTTCCCACAGACTATCCAACCTCAATTTTTCTGAGTACTCTTTTTGCAGTGTACACTGAACTCCTATGCCTATTAATTTCTTATTCCTCTCTATCTTTGATCTCAGATCTGTCAGATTTGTAGATTTTTTTCTGTGCTTACAAGCATAGGGAAAAAACAGCAGCAGAAGTCAGGATCCCAAGCCTGAAGAGAAAAAGAAGATACATGCTTCCATCTTCTATATTTAGTAGCCAAATGACATGAAACCCATTCATTCTTTGTTGTAGTATAGACAAAATATAAACACATATATAGTGTCTTAACCTTGTACTGCTACAAATCTAAATTCAATGGTATCAATACCTGTTTAACAACAGTTGCATGGAGAGCACCTGTAAATTCTATAGTCTTCTTTGGTAAGTAGTGAGGGAGACTTTCATATAGGTAGACACACAGAATAAGCAGCATGACTGGGTTGGGATCACAGATATCAGTGGCCTAATATTGAAAATGAAAGAGAAAAAATAACCAGATTTTCAGTTAAAATTTTGTCTGAATAGTTTAGAGATATGAAGATGAAGAACAAAAAAGTTTAAGGTAATTCTTATTATACAAATATTTTCAACCTAACTTTTAATAACTGGATTAGGCCCATAGCTAAGACGAATATGAATCTTGTCAGTGCACAAAAAAATTAATTCTTGAAGACCACTGCCATGCTCTGGTAATAAACCTAGGATAAAATGCAATACAACACTCTGAAAAAGTAAATATATATTCCAAAGAACAGAACAACGACAGCCAGTCTATCTTCGAATTTTGCAGAAAAGCCCTTGTTTCTCTAGTTAATTCCTCCTGCAGGTATGGCAAAAAGCAGTTTCATGAATGTCCCTTATCAGAATACAAAATCAGCTGTAATGACATTGAACAAGGATCCACAAGATCTAAATCAGCTTGGATGGGTGCACTCTACACTAGGTTAAAAACTGGCTGGACAGCCAAGCCCAGAAAGTGGTGGTGAATGGAGCCAAATCCAGTTGGCGGCCAGTCACGAGTGGTGTTCTCCAGGGCTCAGTACTGGGGCCGGTCCTGTTCCATATCTTCATTGATGATCTGGATGAGGGGATTGAGTGCACCCTCAGTAAGTTTGCAGATGACACCAAGTTGGGTGGAAGTGTCGATTTGCTGGAGGGCAGGAAGGCCCTACAGAGGGACCTGGACAGGCTAGATCGATGGGCCGGGGCCAACTGCATGAGATTCAACAAGGCTAAGTGCCGGGTCCTGCACTTCGGTCACAACAATCCCATAAAACACTACAGGCTGGGGGAGGAGTGGCTGGAGAGCTGCCTGGCAGAAAAGGACCTGGGGGTGTTGGTTGACAGCTGCCTGAACATGAGCCAGCAGTGTGCCCAGGTGGCCAAGAAGGACAATGGCATCCTGGCCTGTATCAAGAATAGTGTGGCCAGCAAAACCAGGGAGGTGATAGTGCCCCTGTACTCGGCACTGGTGAGGCCGCACCTAGAGTACTGTGTTCAGTTTTGGGCCCCTCACTACAAGAAGGACATTGAGGTGCTGGAGCGTGTCCAGAGGAGGGCAACGAAGTTGGTGAAGGGTCTAGAGCACAAGTCTTATGAGGAGAGGCTGAGGGAGCTGGGGTTGTTTAGTCTGGAGAAGAGGAGGCTGAGGAGAGACCTTATTGCTCTGTACAACTACCTGAAAGGAGGTTGTAGTGAGGTGGGGGTCGGCCTCTTCTCCCTAGTAACGAGTGATAGAAAGAGAGGAAATGGCCTCAAGCTGCACCAGGGCAGGTTTAGGTTAGACATCAGGAAAAACTTCTTCACCAAGAGGGTGGTCAAGCATTGGAACAGGCTGCCCAGGGAAGTGGTTGAGTCTCCATCCCTGGAGGTATTTAAAGAACGGATAGATACAGTGTTTGAAGACATGGTATAGATGGACTTGGCAGTGATAGGTTGACAGTTGGAGGACTCGATCTTAAGGGTCTTTTCCAACCTTGACGATTCTATGATTCTATATGATAAATACTTATGGATCTCCTTGGAGTATCAGAGACTGGCTATCCCACTATTCTGCCTCTGGCAACAGAGCAGTTGCTTGAATAAAGAGTGTAAGAAACTGGGCAAATATACAGTGCTCTTTCCATTGACATAATTTGCCAGCTTCTGGAAATTAGTGGCTTAAGGATTTATTGATTATTGCTAAACACCTCTCTCTCATTATTTTAAATTCTTCTCTATTTCATTCTTTACATACAGAAATAAACCTGACTGTCATTAACAGTTTATTAACAGAATTCTTTTTAATTAGAAATTGCTTATTGAGTTTTCTGCCTCTTTTCATGTAATTAAAATGCAATATTGGCTGAAATGTATTGCTTAAAACATAGGACCCTAAAAAGCAGCTGAGATTTAAGTCCTGAGGCAGGTGCTCTAAGAAAGTGAAATGACACAACACTGAGCACAAGTACAAATAGCTCCACCCTCAAACAGCTTCGACTTGATGAGTGACAGATCAGCAACTGACAAATATTTTTTCAGCTAGCAAAAGCTGCATTTTGACATAATAATTTCATGAGGAGAAAGGGTATAATAAAGGGCAAACATTTGAAACTCTAGTGGAGCCACCTTATTCCAACACAATGTAAAAAAAAAAAATCAGTAGCTTAAAGCAAATATTCCATGTAGAAAAATCTTTACACAGCCTATTGGCTCAGACCATGGGCCAACAGGATATCACTACAAGCTGATGCCTAAATGAAAATGATTATATGGTAAGTACGCATACACTTGAGTGTTTTCCCAGGCTCAAGCATGAGACTTCCTGAACCACATGATTTCTGTCTAATTAGAAACCTTCATTTCTTTTTCTCCCAAGCCTATACACAGTCTCCCTTTGACTCTGTGTGAAAACTGTAAAGGCAGCTGCCTAAGAAAACACTCTCCCTTTGAAGTTATGTTCAGTATAACCAAGAAAGAATCTGAGAGAAAAGTTGGAGAAATAAGCTAAGTTTTCTAAATGAACATGCTCTAAATAAATGCAGTAACACCAAGCATTTGAAGTAATGCCCACTTTCACCAGCCTATGGCATTCTAGCCCCACACAAAGTACAATTTTATTTTCAAAGAGTCAAGAGAACACCAAGAAGTAAATAAAAAGAGCTTACTATTTTTCCTTCATTTCCTAAAACATCATCAAAACTGGGTGCCCATCTCTTCTGCTACCAAGAATGAACCCACATTTGAAATAGAAGAGAAGAGGGAAAATAAGATGATCTTTTGTTGTCACAGGTGGGTGAAAACAATTCTGCATTTCAAACCAGAAAAATCTAGAATAAACTGGATTCTAAATTCAGAAATGCAAGGAGTCAAACCAACACAGCATTTCCAATGCAGGAAAAAATATTTCTTTTCCATCCAGTCTACAAGTTGTAAGAAGTTTCCCCCCATGTTTTACAGAAAGGAGAAATTAAAGAATTCTCAGAGATGAACCCAGCAGTATTTTCTCTGGTTCCTTCAGCCCATGAGCTGCTGTGTTATAATGAGGTGCTCCATGTCTTGTATGTAAGAATCCTCAATTCAGTAGGAGAAAACAAATCCAGAAAGGCGAGTGAAGTTATAATTTGTCCAAACTTGAAAGGGAAACTAAAGGCAGAGGTAGTTGCCAAGGCACAGCAAGGGCCAGCTGTTCTCTCTGGAGCCAGGATCCAAAGGCAATATAACACAGCTGCAGAGCAGAGGCCAGCCAGGGCCCATCCCACCACCCAGCCAGGAGCTGAGCAGCCAGGGGAGCACCAGGGCAGCCACAGCCATCAGGGCACCTCCCTGGGGACCAGGACAGGCCAAGGCTGGGATGAGGGCCGACAGGTGGGCCTGGCTTGGTGAGTCCCATGGCTGGGCAAGGTAGGGCTGTGGGGAGCTGGAGACCAGCCCTGCTGCGGTGTCGCTGGGGCAGGGGCTGATGGTCCTGGGGAGCTGATGTTGGGTCCTGGGCCACAGGTGGGTGGGGGGAGCCCCGAGGAGCTGGGCAGGGGCAGGCAGGGCTGGGGGTGCCCCCAGGGGCTTGACGCTAGTTAAGTCTGAAGAGCATTTAACCTGTATCATTTGATGACTCTACAATAGACATTTCAGAAAATTGTATTTTTAACAAGGCTCCATCTCTCTGGTTGCAAGGAAATCAGAAGGAGCTGTATCCCTGAATGGACTCTTAATGTCTAATGAACCTCGCTTTCTCCATACCCTAAAGCATTATATGGCAGGGGGGGGAGAGAACAAAAGAGAGAGAATCTGAATACTGGAAAACATGGCAAGGCTTGGCTCGTGGACTAAAAGCAGAGAAGGGATGCAGCCCTTTCCCAAAGGATAAACATTATTTAAGAAAAGATGACTTAGTTACTCAAAGATTCACAGACTTATTACTGACTACAACTCAGCCCTAATTAAAATAAATGCCTGTAGTCTTGCAAATTGAATGCCTGTAGTCCTGCAATAATGTGTTCTGTGTGCTTTGTACTATAAGGAATATGAATTTTTGTTTTGTTTGGTACAACAGGAAGGAGAAACCTACCAAGATATATTAGTTAGAACAGACAAGCCTTACCAGACTTTTACCTACATACATATTAAATTCAGCTCGCATTACATCTCACTAGATAACCTCAAAGTTTTCTTAATTTCCCTTCTGTTTTATTAAGTTAGAGACAGGTAGATTCCATAGAAAAGGCAGAACTGGAGCTCCCCTGGAGGCAAATCCATTGATTCCATGGAGCACAAAGGCAGGAAGAGTTACTGACCGTTTCCTCCCTCTTTTCTTGCCCTGTGCCCATGACAAGCATCACATCCTACTCCCAGCAGTTCTAGCACAGCTCCTTCTCTAACCTTCCAAGAGAACGAGTACATCACTGGGCACTGATCTTAAGTTTCCCTGTCACTCTCTATAGTTTCCTAGATAATGCTTATCCTCATAATTCTTAAGATTTATGTCATATAGTCTTCATGCACTGATGTAATCATATGCTTCATATCTTGCTTTTCTATTTATTTCTACCACCACTGTTTTTTAAAGTTGGAATTTTAGGATGCACTTACTATGCAAAGTAAAAAAGCTTCTTCCATGCAAAAACTTTTAAAACTGAGGTCTGAAAAATATTCTGATGTTTTCCATTCACTTATCTCAGTGATAGCTATTGAATGTTAACAAGTATTTGTAGGAGAAGTTATTCCAATACAGCTGTGCTTTTACACCTTCACTGTTCATCTTTCCTACATTTTCATTTAAGATAGCAAAAATGTCAGGGTAGATTACCTGTTGAAGCCTAACTTTCTTTTACCCCCTACTTCTACTCATTTCCACTTAGATCAGAACTTATTCCCTCAGAAAACATCATTCTGTTTTATCCTGTGCTGAATTCATAAAACTGCATTTGAGACATTAATCTACTACTCTACGAACTAATTAAAAAAAAAAAATAAAAACCAGTGTAC